TTTTTTTTTTTTTTTTTTTTTCTCGAAATCATATTTTCCACACAAATATTTTATTCTCGATATACAATTAAATTTATTTTTGTTTTTCTTTCTCTTTTATTTCTATTGTATATTAGCATTTTCCAAATTATATCTTTTCCCGGCATGCCTTTCTTATAATATTGAAATAGTATTATATTATATCTCAGTAAGTTGTCAATTGGATATCGTGGCTAAATTTGGGTCTATTTGTAATGTGTGTTTTTATAGATTATGATTACGACTATTACGGTTATGGGGATTATCGAGGTGGCTACAGTGATCCCTATTACGATGACTATTATCGATATGAAGATTACTATTTCGATTATGCGCCGCCTCCGCCGCCTGCCAGAGGGAGAGGCAGGCAGCCTCAACCGGTGGGTCGCCTTTTTAATGGTTCTAAAAAGTCGTTTTCGTTCCTGAAATCATTATTACTTTTTTTTTATACTAGCAGTAGTTTGACTGTGGCACAGTGTTCACGGATTCTCCTAATATATTTCGTATTTCTCTCCAACTTTTCATCCAGATCAACATCTATTATATATTTTCTCTATTTGAGCGTGTAAATTAACGCTGGCTAATTAGGTATGCGCTATTTTTTATTATAATCATTATTAACTCGCAGGAAGATATCTTAATATAATCCTAATTTTATAATGTTAAATGCACATTCACAGTACATTATTTATCTGAACTATAAAGTTTTTAATGAATCCAGGGTGTATGTGTGCGTACGTGCGTGTGCGTATGTGTGTGGGGGGGGGGGAAGGGAGAAGGGTAAAGAGAGCAGGAAAGAATGCTTAAGAGCGTACTATATTATTATATTTATATAGACCCTACATGAATCTATACTGTACTAACAACAAAACTTCGATACTACTAAGATTAGACCTTGTAATCCGAACACATTGCCACTTTCAAATTGCTTGCAAATCATATCTGAGCCATGGTAGACCCATTCTAAATTTTCAACCAAGATATAGCCGGGAAAAGCAATTTAAATTAAAAAAACATAAAGAGAATAAAGAGAAAAAGGAAAAACATGCGGATTAAAAAACAGAAACTTGAAGATAAATATTTATATTTATATAAATCCTCTCAAGGAAGAAGATCGCACATTTTACAATGTTGCAGGATCCCTTAACACTATTCCATCTTCATTATTATTCTAGCGCAGCTTCAGGAGAATTCCAGATGTAGGCAGAAAGCAGTGTACAGGACTTTTTATATATCTTGTCGTCGTTCTTTATATATTACAGTCTCCATGTACAAATAATTTGTTTTTTTTTTGTCTTAGAGCGACGTTGCGTCTCGTGGCTCGGATATGATGTTACACTTTTTCTATGTCAAGTTACAGGGTTATCCAAACATGACAAAAGGGAGCATATGGGCACCCTGCGCGAAAAAAATTTACTTTATCGTTTCGTTTTTATTATATTTTTATATTGCGATCAACTTTTTCTCTTGGCAGTGCCTTGCTATTGCGATAACACATGACATGCGCACTCAGGTTTCTTATGTGTATTATTTGATGTTACTATATTCCCCGTGCTATATGATGTGTACGTCATATAGTACGATGTAGTTAGCTCCGTTGCTTTCAAGGACAAATTAGAATCTTTTTCGAATTGTTTTCGCATTATCTTGAACCATTTTCTAACATTAATTTTTGCTTTATTATTTATTTTGGACGTTATCTCGATTATATACCTCGATTATATTCCTAGATGATTCCTCCTGAGGAAGTGTTTTAGTCTAATTTTTCGATACCTATAAATTATGATTTATTATTTTTGTTTTGCTGCATCCGCACGATTCAATATTCACGTATCATGTTTCTTTTACACTCCAATTTCCATTTTTACTTTTTTTTTACAAATTTTTATCGTCAGATTATCATGTAGACATCTTCGCTTTAAGTAGAATTACCGAATCTCTTATTTAAAAAAAAAGATACAAATATTCATTTTATAAATTTCTTTGAAGTAAAAAAAGTTAATTTAAATTACAAGTACAGATAAGGATATAGAATAAAATGAATTTATTCTTTTGTGATTTGAGATTGAATTTTTTTCTGTACTATTAGACATAACTATATTCATGTAATGATATTGTATGCATCGGATTCTTAAATTGAGTTCTTTCTTCCAGGAAAAAATTTAGATTAATTCTCGTATTCTTATTATGATTTATATTTTGTATTTGAAGAAACAACTAAGCTGTGTATGTGCTACATACAGAATGTCTGGTAATAATTGTATTATCTTGTGGACAGTAAAATGGGTTAAATTGGAAAAATCTTCTGTCAACTTATAATAATTATTAAAAAATTAATTATTGTCAAACTTGCAAAATAATAGAAGATTTTTTTATTTAATTTAACTTGCTCTACTGTCTGCAAGATGTTATTACCAAATACTCTATATATAGCGCATACATAGTATGTTGACTGTAGTTTCTTCAAATATTCACAAATATTTCTTCAAATTTTTTCACGAGAGATAATATGGTTATTGTCACTCTGTAGATCCAATATATGTGACTACGTAACATATACATACATCGATTTGACTTTCAAAAAAAATAAATCAATTCAATATGGCAATTTTATTTTCATTAAGCAGGAGGAAAAGTTTGTCGCAAATTATAAACAGCAGTATTGGAACTAAGGAATGATAAACGTCATTCAAACTTTTTAAATCAATAATCTATTTACAAATGATTTATCGTATATGTGTCACGTGACGATTAGTAATACTTTATTAATAATATTTTATTACTTGTACACTGAATTATGCGTAGGTATGATAAAGACCACGGAGATAGATGACGGAATAGAGAGGATTCGTCCCCCGTATATAGCACCAGTGAACATGTTTTGCAGTTCTCGCTTTAGCCTCCCACCGTCCTTATATCCATGTATATAAAACCATAGCTTACGCTTAAATCACATTTGTTTTAACGCTTAATGCTGCGCCGCTTATTTATATAATACGCCTTTTGGTTGAATTTTGTTTTAGCTGCCAGTGCAATAGCTTGTGTCGCTTAAAAGTTCCTACGCCAACCAATCAGTTCGCTTTTCGCTTTACTACATTGGATAACTCTGCTAACTCCTACTGCTGTATGTAAAAACGTGGTTAGTAAAAATTTGGTTATAGGTGATTTACTTCTGCCACGTTCTCATTTTTCTTTTTTCTTCCTTCTTTCTCATTCTATCATTGTTTCTTCCTCTCCATAACTTTCTTGTTTCCCTTCTCTCTGTTTACTCGTCTTTTTTCATGCTATATCGTTATGGATGTATACGTATATATAAAAGCCTTGTATGTACGTCTACGCTCCAAATATGAGCATTACGAATAAAATGCACATATATATATACTGGAAAAACTCTTGATCATTCAGCGATATATATACTAATTCTAATGTATTTTATTACTATTACTACTATATTTTTAAGGGTCTACTGTATACTGTACATAACTAAATTAGATATAAAGCAGAAGAGACACGTAAAAATATTAAGAAAAAGAAAAGAAAGTTAAATGAAATGTAAATATAATGCAAATTATTGTACAATTATGGGGTAACAATTTGGGTATGTTATTTGGGTAGGCTGGTCGTGGCCGTGGAGTAGTGCCACGTGGCCGAATCGGTGGCCCGCAAGCCCGTGGGCCAGTCAGGGGGGGACGCAACCCCGCAGCTTCAGGGGCCCGTGGGGTCCAGCGGCTGGCCGCTCGTGGGGGGGTCCGCGCCAAGGGAAGTTTACCAGGTGAGGATGGTCTGTATCTCCACAATAAATCGTCTTTTACACTGTTTACATTTAATTCTTAATTTACACAAGCCACATTCACCGCATATGTCATATACATACATTCACAAGCACGCGCACATTTTATCATCGTTAATTATTACGATCTTTGTGAGAGTTCGTGTCAATACTGTTGTATTCTTGTTCTTATTGTATGAAAATTCTAATGATGAAGTTACTAAGACATTATTTTTAAAGATTTTTTAAAAATACATGATATTAATGATTTAATAGGAAATAATTAATCGTTTAATGTTAGGAAGAGAGAA